GAGAGAGACAGGAGGGACGGAGAGAGAGAGAGAGAGGGAGGGAGAGAGAGACAGAGACAGAGAGAGAGAGAGAGAGCGAGCGAGAGGGAAGCGCGGTGAGACCGCGCTGTGTTTCAAAAAGAAGTAAGCCCCTATAAGCCCTACGCAAACCCTTTACTAGTCAGGCCCTTGGGACATTTTCCGATTTCCCTTATCGGGTGTTATGAGGAATGTTTTTCAGAGGGTTTCAGGCTAAGTTTCAGGGCCATCCTAGTTGAAGCAAGCTTGGACCTGGACCGCGCAAGTCTGTGAAGCGCTGTGGCTTCGTATGGTCCCTTAGCCCTGCCTATAGGGATGCGAAGTATGGGTCCTGATTTCGGTTTAGGGTTTCGGGTTTAGGGTTTAGGGTTTAGGGTTACCCAAAATTAAGGGCCCATACTTGGATCCTTAGACAAGTGTGAGCTCATGTGAGGGTACCGCGTCTGCCTCGGGGATGGGAGGCCTGCAAACCCGTGTAGAAACCAAACCGCCGAACGTTTGATGGAACCCGAAGACCCCAAGACCCTAAGACCCTAAGACCCTAAGACCCTAAACCCTAAACCCTATACCCGAGGCCAAAGGTGGAGTCTTTGCGGCCGTCCCCCCAGCAGAGATGGAACTTGAGAGTCGTCGCCAAGCCACCTGTTTAATCGAGGGGTCGGAATCATAATTAGGGTTTAGGGTTTAGGGTTCAGGGTTCAGGGCTTAGGGTTGTAATTTGTAATAGTATCCCCTCATGGTCCACATATAGTTATACTATAATCGCCCCCCCCCCCCCCCCTCAAAAAAAAATCTAATGAAGAGAAGGTGGGGTTTAGGGTGCCTCCCCCCCCCCACTAAAAGTGCTCAGACCCGACAGCCGAAGGCCCTTCCTCCTGTCCTGCATGGGTTTAGGGTTTGGGGTTTAGGGTTTAGGGTCTAGGGTCTAGGGTTTAGGGTTTAGGGTTTAGGGCTTAGGGTTTAGGGTCTAGGGTTTAGGGTTTAGGGTTTAGGGTCTAGGGTCTGGGGTCTAGGGTTTAGGGTTTAGGGGCCTATTCAGTATAAGGGTTAGTCCGGCTTGTGGGCTCATCCAGGCACGTTTGTTTTCTAGAGTTTGAACCCTAAACCCTAAACCCTAAACCCTAAACCTTAAACCGAACGCTTAACCCTAAACCCTTAAACCCTTTCAATTGCTAACATCTTGTTCCTGCTTCTGGGGGCGCGCTGTGCCGTCAGCTGCCTAAACCCTAAACCCTATACCCTAAACCCTAAACCCCAAACCCTAAACCCTAAACCCCAAACCCCAAACCCTAAACCCTAAACCCTAAACCCACAGTGCGGCCGAGGTTGACAAACCCGTGGGTTGGCGCCCATGAGCTGCGTTTGTCTTCGCGTCTGTAGGGCTTTAGGGCGCCCATGAGCTGCGTCTGTCTTTGCGTCTGCAGGGCTTTAGGGCTTTAGGGCTTTAGGGCTTTAGGGCTTTAGGGCTTTAGGGCTTTAGGGCTTTAGGGCTTTAGGGCTTTAGGGCTTTAGGGCTTTAGGGCTTTAGGGTTAGGGTTTATAGGTTTTAGGGTTTAGGGTTTAGGGTAGGGTTTATAGGTTTTAGGGTTTAGGGTTTCGGGTTTCGGGTTTAGGATTTAGGGTTTGGGGTTTTCGAATGGGCATGCCGCCGCCAGACGCCCCCTTCCGCGTCCTATAGTAGGGCTAGGACTTAGGGCTTAGGGCTAGGTGCCGGGTATATAAGGGTATCTACTTGGGTTTTCTAAGGACGAAGAAAACGGGTACATAAGGGGACCCCATTTGAGGGCCCAGATGCAGGGACCGTGCAACTACCCTTAGATTAGGGTTTAGGGTTTAGGGTCTAGGGTTTAGGGTTTTAGGGTTTTAGGGTTTTAGGGTTTTAGGGTTTAGGGGTTTAGGGTTTGGGGTTTAGGGTTTAGGGTTTAGGGTTTAGGGTTTAGGGTTTAGGGGTTTAGGGTTTGGGGTTTAGGGTTTTAGGGTTTAGGTTTCATTTTTGACAGTCGTCTGCCATATGATCCCCGCTCCATTACCCTCGCTTCTTTTAAGGGGTGGTGTGCCCTAGGCCCGACTTCGGCGGTGGAGCCGGCTTGCTTCCGTGGGATGGTAGAGGGATTAGGGGTTTAGGGGTTTAGGGGTTCAGGGTTTAGGGTTTAGGGTTTAGGGGTTTAGGGTTTAGGGTTTCGGGTTTAGGGTTTTGGGATGCAGAAAGGTTTAGGGTTTAGAGAGTGGCGTTTTCAAGCTGGATGCTTTTAGAGGTGTGGCTCTGAGGCATGTGGAAAGCCGGGGAAGGGTTAGGACTTGAGGTTCCATGTTGAAGAGAAGAGAAGTTGACGTTTCATCGTCGGGGCTTTCAATTTGGGATGTCTTCCCCCAATGCCACCAGCTTCAGGGCTTTAGGGTTTACCTGGGACTCCACTTACAGTTCAGTAGTAGCCACCCAGTCATAGAAAGAGAGTCCCAGGTAGGATTTAGGTCCCAGTAC